GCATCGATGCATCAAAGGAGAGGCTTCAGAACTTCCAAAGCTGACTCCATCGCAGAGCAGACATTTCTGCTGCTGATATCACAGCTTCTGATCTGGTACGAGTTTATTTTATTTTTATGAGTTTATTTTTATTTTTCACCAGCCATCAATCACCCACCATCCATATATGCTTTAGGGCAAAACATATTAAGGTCAACTACAGAATGAAAAAGAAGCTTTTATGTTGTGACATCTGATGATGAATTCTTAAATCTCTTTTTCAAAAAGGTGCAAGCACAAATACCATAGTTTTGTTTTTGTTTGACTGCTTTTACTGGGGACCTGGTTGTGAACCAGGCAGCAGGTCCTGGCAGGTGGCACATCTAGACAAAGAGAAGGCAGTGTCTGGCATTCCATGCAACAATGGCAGCCCCATTCTGTCTTACAGCTTTCTTTGTACTGGAAATAAAGTGTGTTTCTCTAAAATGGAGAATTTTTAAAATCACTTGTGAGGATGTATAAATATGAACATATATCAATGTTTTATTTGACTTTCTTACATACCATCATATATTGAAAATATTATATTTAACTTCATCATAAATATAATATATATAAAGAGTACCTGGGCTAGAGAAATTAAATCTCTGCTACAGGATTTTCACAGTGTTTAAAAATATATGTAATATGTGTCTCCCCTAAAATGGTGTCCAGGTGAGGGCCCTGCAAGGTGTCTAACATGCAGAAATAGCAACAATGCTGAGAATGGATAGGGGTTTGGTACCGGTTATTCAAGGACAAACTGCTACAGCAAAGTAGGACAAGTCATGGCTGTTACTGAGGAGGAATCAGTGTATTCTGAAATCTATACAACAGAATATCATCAATTCCACCAGATATCTAGAAGGAGGTAAAAGCTCGAAGAGTAATTTGGGAAAATCCAGTTTTATATAGTCAAGTGTAACCCAGCAAATTGTGTATCTATTCACATACTGTAGATTCTATCACTTCAGGAATTATATACATAAATTTAAAATGTCTAAGAGGATATGTATGAACATAGTTGCATATGGCATTTATTTCAGTGTTTGGACGTCCCCCAAAAGCCTCATGTGGTCATGGGTGTGGCAGCTGAGTCTAGCATTTGTAATTGGTCTGCTGTCTAGTGCTGGGATTGGTGGTGGGAGGGCTGCACTCACCAGAGATGGGTAGTTAGCATACAATATAAGGGAGGGAAGGAGGCATGCTTTCCCGTTTTTGCTGCTGTGGCCTTTGGTACCTGTTGCCACAGGAATGGTTGCCCCTGTACCATGCTTCCCTGCCTTGGAGCCAGCTAAGTATGGACTAAAACCTCCAAAACCTGTAAACTAAATAAAGCTCTCCTTTATTTTGGGTGTCAGGTATTTTGTCTTAGCAATGAGAGAAAAATAACCAAGACAGTTACTAATCTATCTACTTGGGTCTCCATTTTGATTTTGTAAAGTTTTCAGTGAGACTAGCAATGCTTCTCTAATTACCTAGTCCACTCTAGTTATGACTGATCCTCCATACTGACAACTGTTGACTCATTCATTTAAACCATTACTCTCTTGGGAGATAACATAGCTTAGCTTTTCTCAATAGCTTGGCTATATCCTGCTGTTTGACTTTTGGTAAGACAGGTTAATGTTCCTGGGCAATATCCTCAGGAGAGGCACTTCCAATTGTGAAAAATGGAGCTTTCTGACCTGCTCAGATGTTGGAGTGCAGTGCTTAGCTTAGAGGAATTTAATTCTTACCCAGAATTTTGGAGGTGTGTTAAAGAATATTTCTCCCCGTATCCCCAACCACATAAATTTAGATGGTTACACTAAAAACAGCAGGTGTCTCTCTTTTCTTTTTGTGTTTTAGCTGAATAACAACGGACAGCTCTATTCCTGACCAAAATGTGCTTGTGGTATTGTTAAGCTATAAGAATATTATCATAGGACATTCAGAACATTGGCCAAATTAAGAAAAAGGATCTGACTCCCTAAACATATGCGCTCAATGAAGAATAAATAACTTAGAGTAAATGAATCTTACATTCACATTTTTTAAGGAAGTAAAATTTATGCAGTCAGTGAACTAAGCAATGTGCTTCCTTTGGCATCTGAAAGGTTGGCTGCACTTCAAGTGGCAATGTTTGTTTGGAATTTTATCATTCACAACAGACGCATCAGGAATGGGAATCAATTTGCTTTCACTGGCAAGTTCTGTTCGGATGCTGGTATATAAATCACAAATTTCTTACTTCATCAAGAGACTACGTGAATAAATGGTCCAAGTCCCCATATGCATAGCATTATTAAATAATCTCAGCTGTTGTGATGTTTGGGGATAAGTAACTATATAGTCATAGATCTCACATATATGAAATATTTCACACAGTGAAATATAAATAATTCAAAATAAAAAATTAAGTAGAATCAAAGCACCAAGTATATAGCACCTGAAAAAAGGATCACTTTGTTTTAGTATGCAAGAAAACCCTTGCTTCTCTGTGAATAAGAAGAAAAATTAGAGAAAGGTTACTTGGTTAACAATCCCACCTTCTGCTTTTATCCTAGTGGCAAATAATTAATTCACAGTCCCTGGCTGGAATCCATGCTAGGTGAAGCAAATGGTCACATCTCTGTGAATTTCACATTAACAGCTGAGTTTATTTCCTTTGTAAACTGGTCAAATTTTCAGGACAGCAGGCCACACCATAGGGCTTGGGAGGAAAAGTGAGGACTTCAACAAATCAAGCTTAAGTGGATTGCTCAGGGCAGCTAAAGGGCACAATACAATGCTTCCCGGGGTGCCACTGTGTTGGAAGCTTAGGAAATTTCTCCTTTTCTATTCTCTTCCTCTGCTATACCCCCCTTTCTACTATTTTATTTATTAGTCTACTTATTCCATTATCTATTTAGTGATAAGTAGCTAAATGGTGCCGTCTTACATATATCTATCCCCATTTTAATTCTGTAAAATCATTAGTGATTTTAGTAATCACTAGTGATGAGTGCCACTTTGATTATAACATTCATTTTCTTTTCCAGTGATTTATTTGAATTTAACATGTTCTTTCTATACATGGACCTACTATTCTCAAATACAGTAGAAAAAGAAATTCTTAACAAAATTATTGAGTTTTCCATATTCAAAAAATTACCCATAAAAATGAGAAGTACTTGAAGAGGAAATCACATTCACTTTTGTCCACTTAACCATATTTTCTACATAGCTCCCATCCATTTCCCATTTATGCCTGGAAGCTGTGCCTGTTGTTACTACAGGAGATGAAGTGCTGTAGTTCGATTGACTTTTTTGGAGCTGTATTACCTTTCCACTCATCTCCTGGACTGTATTTCTGCTGAGCTGGAAGACCAAGGTTCCAACACAGACTGCTGCACTGAGAGCAGCCCAGCAAGGACTACTAAAAAACACAATCACTTCTCTATTTTCTAAATGTGGTGAGATGGGGGATGAGGCAAGGATGGTCAAGAATCATACTGAACATAACTACTTTGGCCTTTTGGTCTTTTATATATTTAGTTGACCCATATGAAATACATGAATTTCCAGAGCCACTGATAAGAAGTTGGCTTTAGCTTGAATTAGTCAGTATTACTTGAAAGCGTAGTAAACCAGCCAGATTTACTACATTAGGTTATTTCTTATTAAGGTGCTCCAAGAAGCATCGAGAAAGCAGTGCACCACAGAGTATTCAGGCACAGCAGTGGTTCCAGAGAATGACTCAAATCTGTTCACGTTTCATGCACAAGTTTATGGGATTCTTCTTCAGCCCTTAAAAACGTACATTAAAGGTATGTGGATAACTGAAAATTTATTCTATGTTTTATACTTATGAAGTTAATTTTGCCTTCTGAAAAACAATTTTAAAGATCTAACATCATTTAAATTGGAATTTTAAAAAAATCCACAATCATGATTGAACAGTGCAGCCACTTGGAAAATGCTGAACATTTTCATTCAGTTGAACATTTGTTGCCGTGACAAATGTATATGAAAAAGTGACAATATGCTAAATACAATAAATTACAGCTTTCCAATTATAAGCAATTCACTGAGAACGGACAGTTTAATAAATCTGCAGTATTATCACATAGGGAATTAGAACATTCATTTAACACTAAAGAAACTTGCCAAAAACTTGGGACACAAAACTACAAGCAAATTTTTATCTAAAAGATTTCTTGTATCAGCTGTTTATCATGTTCATTATTATAAGTTATTAAGGTAGTGTCACTCGGCTGTGCAATTTTAACTCTGCTTAATATTTGTCACTTGTTACTCGTTTGGTATAAACAAATTTTGGTTAAAAGAAAGCAAAATACATTTAGACTTGGAGTATCCATATTATACAAAATCCCCTGAGGAAGTATAGTGCTTTTCTTCTGTGGATGCACTTAATGGTCTTTAAGAAAAATACGGATTTGTTTGTATCTCAGTCCCTTCCAGTGTCTCCCCAGGAAGAAATCTGAACTGGTGACATGGAGTAGAAATAATATTCTCAGATGTGATTTTCCCTTTTTTCCTTTTCTTTCCTCCCTTCCTGTCTTTTCTTTCGTCCCTCCATTCTCTTTTTCAAAATTTCAGAGCAGCATAAACAGAAACAAGTAGGGAAATATAGAACAAAGCTATGCTTTGAATGATATATACATTTATCCTTTTATTCACCGTTCACTTTACGAGGAAGTAAAATCTCTCCAATTGAGGCCGCTGAAAATAATAAACTGTGTTAAGTCCATAAAAATGGCAAATATTTTCACAAAGACAGTAATTCTTCCAAATTTTGCTACTCTACTTTAGATTTGTACAACAAACACAATTTTCTTGCAGACTTATTCTTGGATGAGCCTCAACAATATTGAAATAAAGCAGGATGAAAAATGTGATTCAAAACAAGCCAATATATTCATCTTTCAAGACAGCATCACCTGAGCCATTTAACTGAGAGAAGGCTGCATTAGGGACGCAGGGGTCACGCATCTTACCTGGCGTTTGAAAGTTAAGGCGCCTCAGTTCTACGGGGTCTGTCGGATGGTGTGAGGGAACCTCCTTACTGTTCGGTATACTGCTCTTTCTAGACTCAGACTCTGCTCTCTTCCTACGGGGAGAAAATTAAAATTTAAGAATTGAAACACATATGAGAAAAGAATTAAAATATGCTTTCAAAAAACAGTCATCATGTTCAGTCCTCAAGTGTTCAGTTTCAAAACCTTTTAATCACTTAGGTTTATGATCTTACGCAGGGTGGGTTTCCTCTCTTGGCCTACAGTAGTTCCTCTGGTCTAAAATTTTTATGTAAGTGGATGATCTTAATGTGTTCCCTCAGTTTTAGGATTAATAAATTCAATATCGCTGTTTTTTGGTTCTAAAGGAGTGCTGGTAAGATGTGCAAAAATTGTTCAATAATTGTCTCTTATCTACAAGTTCTACTTGTGAAGAATAAGACAGTGTATTTCTAGTCACTGATTCTAACATTGTTGTTACTAAAGAGATTACTTAGCCTCAAGCCAAAAGGCTATTTCTGTGCCTTTCTTCTTTTTAAGAATATATAACTGGTGACTATAAAATGGAGATACACTGAATTTTCCCATGAGACCAATAATAGTTCTAAAATATAAGCTATCCTAATACCTATAAGAAAAATTGGGGCCACACAAGACATCTCATTTCTCTTTCAAATTGAAAGGAAAAAAAAGTGTGCCGACTATTTATGGTGGTGTTAAGCAATTTGTGGTTAATAGTTTGTTAATGAAAGTCAATCACAGAACAATCAGAGAAAAAGTAATTTCTCCCTACGGGTAGTGCAACTCTCCTGATGATTAGTCAGTGCACCACTAATGGTGTCTTGTTATAAATATGATTTTTCATAGAATTCGTATCATGTTTTTAAAATACCTCATTAAATACACATGCTTAAACTGTCATAATGTAATCTAAATTTCTAAGTAAAAAAATCGTAAGATTTATCTTTCTGTTTTTCTTCAAACCCAAACAACTATCTTCATGTAGACTGAATAAGGTTAAACACCCCTTTTAACAAAAGAAATCCTTGATATTATTAGTACACATCTGCAGTATATAATTATGATTACAGTTATCACGGGAAGCTGGTAAATCTACTCGTCACATCGAAATTGTTTTGTCCCCATGCCTGCTGTTCCTCCCTGCTCCTTCTGTCTCTTGGTTCTCTTTCCATTTGCAAAAGCTCCATTCCCATTTTTATGTCACTTCTTTTTAGCCCATTTTCTCCCCCCTCTCTTTACTTCCTCAATTTCTTGATCCCTCCCCACTTGGGAAAGATTTTCCTACTTCCATTATCTATTTTTTATCTTACTCTTTATTTATATTTTGGGTTTTTCATGTAAGATAAAACACAGTGTTTAAGCTTCTGTACTTGATTTATTTCACTTATTAGTGATGATGTGTGTCCCTTTATCTAAAATGGTTAGAGCTTTTCCCTCTGCAGAATAGTACCCCACTGTCTACAAACACATCACATTTTCATTATTCACTCGTATCTTGATGGGCAGGTAGGCCATTTCCAAGACTGAGCTTCTATGAATATGGGGTGCATGTATCAATGTAACATGATGATTTTAAAACTTTTGGGAAGACACCTAGATGGGGAATAGCTGTGTGAAGTAGAATTGTACGTTTAGTTTTTTGGAGAATATCCATTCTTATTTCCATAAGGTTTGTACTAGTTTATACTCCTACCAACAATATAGAAGGGCTTCTCCCTCATTTCCAGCTTCACAAGCGTTTATAATTTTCTATTTTTAATGAGAAAAGGTAAAATTTCATTACAGGATAGTAAGAGAATAACAATAGTTAATATATTACATGTTATCTTTAGAGTAGTTGATCAGGATACTAGATATGGGCATAAACATTTCTCCAGTTGATATCAGCACAAACCTTCCTTTTAATGACTAAGATGTATTAATAGTAAAGCTGACTGGCATTTTTTCTATTTTCTCCGGGGTCCTTTCCCTTTTACCCATTCTAGTTCCTTTTTCCTTTTGAACAATTTCTTCAATTTCACAGTATCTTCTGAACATTTTATACCTTATTTATTTTTTCAGTTTCTCGCCAGGGAGACAATATGATATTTACACATATGAGTCTGATTTATTTCACTTATGAATATGTCTAAAGTTGCCTCCACTTACCTATAAAAGTCTCAACTTTATCCTTCTTTATGGCTGAGTAGTACTCCATTATATAAAAATATCACAACTTTTTTATCCACTCTTTGTTTGGTGGACATTTGGGTTGTTTCCAAGATTTAGTTATTACAAACTGTGCTGCTATAAACACAGGTACATACATTTCCCTGTGCTATGACATTTTTAATTCTTCTGGGAAGATACCAGAAGGGGAATAGTTGGATAGAATGCTACTTCTAGTGCTAGTTTTCTTAGGATCTCCACACTGATTGCCACAGTACTGTACCAGTACATACTACCACCAAGAGTGGAGAAGGGTTCCTTTTTCACCACAGCCCTATCAGATTTATTGGTGATAGCCATTCTTATGGGGTGAGATGGAATCTCAGAGCTATTTTAATTTGCATCTCTTGAATTACCAGAGATATTGAACATTTTTTCATGTATTTATTTGGGATTTTCACTTCCTCATCTGAAAAGGGTGTATTATCTCAGATGCCCATTTTTGGATTGGGTCTTTGAATTTGAGGAGGATCTGACTTTTCTCACTTCTTCGTGTGCTACAGATGTAAGTCCTTTGACAGCGGGACAACTGGCTAAACTTGTTCTCCCATTCTGTGGGTTTTCTTTTCACACTGTTGGTGATTTATTGGGCTGTGAAGAAGCTTTTTAGTAAGATGAGATCTCAGTTGTTGATTCTTTGAAGTACTTCCAATGTAGTTTGGATTTTGTTCATGAACTCTCTACTTACACCTATGTCTTCAAGATTTCTATCTGCTTTCTCCTCCAGTAGATTTGGTGTTTCTGTTTTAGATTGTTGATCCCTTTTGACTTTAGTGCATACTGATAGACCAAGCTTAGTTTTAATCTTCAGCTAGTAGATGGTCAATTTTCCAGCACCATATATTAAAGAGGTTATCTTTTCCCCCATGAATATGTTTGGCCCACTTGACAAAAAAAAGGTGGCTGAGTATGTTTGTAGCTGTGCCTACATCTTCTGATCTGTTCCATTGGTCTTCAGGTCCATTTGGTTGCCAGGACCATGCTGATCAGTAATTTCATAGTATAATTTCAAGTCAGGGATTATGATGTCCCCTGGCTTGTCTTTGTTGCCCAGGATTGTCTTAGCTATTAGAGGTCTCCTCTGGTTCCCAATGAATTTTAGGAATGTTTTCTCTAATTTTGTGAGGTATGCTAATGGTATTTTTATTAACATTGAATTAAATCTGTATAATAATTTTAGAAGTATAGCCATTCTCACTATGCTGGTTCTTGCTATCCATGAACAAGGGCTATCTTTTCATTTTCCAATATCCTCTTCAATTGCCTTTTTTCATAGTACTATAAATATATATATACAAGTATATAAGATATATATATATACTGTATATAAAGATATATATATATATATATATATATATATATATATATATCTTTTACTAACTTTGTTAGGTTGATTTCTAAGTATTTCATTTTTTTTAATGATACTGTGAAGGGTGTGATCTAATTTCTCTCTCAGTGAGTTTGTTGCTTACATATAGGAATGCTATAGATATTTCAGTGTTGAATTTATATCCAGCTATGCTACTGAATTTGGATATTAAATCTAGAAGTCTTTTGTTTGAGATTTTTTGCAATTTTGTATGTAGAGTATCAGGTAATCCACAAATGATGATGATTTAATTTGTTTTGCTATCCTTAGGCCTTTTATTTCTCTCTTGTCTAATAACTCATGCTAGTGTTTCCAGAACTATATTGAATTGGAGTAGTGATAGAGCACATCTTTGCCTTGTTCCTGATTTTAGAGTGAAAGCTTTCAATTTTTGTTAATTTAGTGTGATCCTGGCTGTTGGTTTGTCATAGATTGCTTTTTTCAGATTAAGACCATCTATTCTGATTTTCTGTAGGGTTACTTTTTTTTTTTTAACATGAAGAGTGTAGAATTTTTCAAAAGGTTTTATGCATTTATTGAGATGATGGGATTTTTTACTTTGGCTCTATTGATATTTTACATTTATTGATTTGCATATGTGGAACCATGCCTGCATTCATGGGATGAATCCCACTCGGTCATGGTATATAAACTTCTTTATGAATTGGTGCATTATATTTGCTAGTATCTTATTGAGAATTTTTGCATCTATATTCACTAGGGAGATTGTCCTGTAGTTCTTTTTGTTGGATCTTCTCTGGCTTGGTGTTAGGGTAATACTTGTCTCCAGGAATGAATTAAGGAGTATCGCATTTCTTTCAATTTCTTTAAAGAGATTAAGAAGTATTGACATTAAATCTTCTCTAAATTTCCTGAAGGATTCAGCAGTGAATCCATTGGGACATTGGCCTTTCTTTTCCTTGTTAAGTTTTTAACTAATTTTCAGTTTCACTGACTGATATCGGGTTACTCAGAATTTTTGTATCTTCTTGATTCAGCACTGGTAATTCATACGTACTTAGAATCTTTCCATTTTTTCTGTGTTTTCCATTCCATGAGAGTAAAGATTTTCAAAGCAGGTACTGATGATCTTCTGAATTTCCACAAGATCTGTAGTGATTTCACCCTTTTCATTCCTCAATGTATGAATTTGAGTCTCCATTGATTTTGAAAGATAGTTTTGCAGGGTACATCAATCCAGGTTGTAAGTTATTTTCTTTCAGGACTTGAAACATTTCACTCTAAGATCTTGACTTGAGGAACTGTGTTGAGAAGTCAGCAATGATTCTGATGGGCTTTTCTTTGTAAGTGGTCTGTTTTTCTCTAACAGCTTTTAATATTCTGTTCTTGTGCTGAATTTTTGTGATCTTGATTATTATATGTCTGGGTATGGATTTATTTTGGCTATGATTAATTCAATTTCTATATTCTCACTTATCTGTATGTCAGTTTCTCTTTCCATGTTTGTGAAATTTTCTGTTATCACTTCTACAATTT